AAAAAAAAAAAAAAAAAAAAACGACCATAAAAAAGTGAATCAAAACTTTTCCAGCACATCGGGATGGTTGTAACCAAGTTTGTTTGCTAAGTAAAAACTGCCTAAAAATTGAGTACTTCTGGATGCGAAGGGAATGCTTTTTAATGGGGCACTTTGAAAAAGAGGGCACTGGAATAAGATGCCTGAAATGTGAACGAAACAATGACTGCGTCACTTCTAAAAAATTCTTACTTTGCCAGCTATTTCTGACGCAACTGATAAAGCAAAAGCAGCCTTGACAATGACTACAATTTTTGTTTTATGGACCGTAGGGCACTCGTCGGGACCCCTCCACTCTCAAATTTTAAAACGATAGCTAATTATCCCTTTGTTGTTGCAGTGACGGCAGGGAGTTGCGACGTTTCTGCTATTGGTTAAACAGCATGTACTTCTTAGGACACCAAACATTTCAGACGAGTACTGCCACTACGTCAGAGAAATTCATTCAGCTTGAAACTTGCACAAAAAAGAGCAAACGCGTCGAGACTTAGGAAAGCCAAAATTGGCTTTTTTTCTGTACAATGAAAACAAGAAAAAAAAGCAAAGAAAGTTTTTTAAGCAACACACTCGTCGCAATTTGCAAAAGAAAGACAGTAAGATAACCAGATACCAAAAATATGTATATAAGTAAAGTTATGGCTGCAGAGAATGTTGCCTTTGAAGAAAACTTGTTTGTGCCTCAGTTATATTTTTATAAATATTACATTACAGTCGAAGTGGAACGTTGCCAACACCGATGGATCTCACAGCGAAGGAATTAGAAGCGCACCAGACAGGAGTGAATTTTTAAATTAGTGTCTAATCTGATGGTATAATTGTGGACCTATATATCTTTAAGTTGTTTATGTACAGCAGTTGAGTAGTCATATTACTTGGCTGGTTTTTCCGAATAAAGAAGAAGAATATTCATTTCTTATGAACGATTTGTTTATTAATCTGTCACTGTGCGTAATTTTTTATTTATGTGTCTTGTAGTTAAGAAATTCTCAAAACTTTTGAAGGTCTTAAATCACTAAAAACACTGAAGGAGGAGGCCACGTCAGTGAAATAAGACCTCTGTTCATGATGCTCGTTCGTCTCCAAATCAGAAAACT